TCTTATATACTTCAATTAGGTCTTCTCTCATTCTTCTAAACTCCAGTGAGTATTGGCCTAAACTGCTCAACTCTGTTCATAAGACAAATCCCTCATCGCTGGAACCAATCTAGTGAACCTTCTCTGAGCTACTTCCAATGCAATTATGTCCTTCTTCAAGTAAGGGATACAAAACTGTATGCAGTGCTCCAGATGCAGTTTCACCAATGCCTTATACAATTGCTGTAACACTTCCCTACTTTTATATTCCATTTGGTTTTACTTTAGATGGCCAATTTTTAATCTTCCTCTTTTCTTTCATTGTGCGGTTAGGTTTGCTAACTTCCAATCCTTGGGTATCCGGGAATTCTGGAAGGTCAAACTAATGTTTCCAATATTTCTGTGGTCTACTCTTTTAAAGCCTAAGGCTGCAGGTCATCAGGTCCAGGTCTGCTTTTGTGGTTCATCAGCAGGAAGCTGACTTAGGAAAAGATGGAAATGATGACAGCCCAAGTTGACAGAAAGCAAGGACCAGTTTGCTGAACTTAACAAGAATCACCATTTATGACAAATATATTGACTCTAGCTACAGGTAAACAATTACGAATGTTAACATATAACACTATCAGTGAAAACTCTAACACCCTTATAAATTGCCCCTCTACACACACATACAGACAAGCACAAAAAAGCTTGCACAGGAGATTCACCAAGATATGCCTGGGCTGGAGAGATTCAGCTCTGAAAAGATAGAGTCTAGATAGGCTGGAGCTGTTTCCCTTCGAGCAAAGAAGGCTGCGGGGGTCGTGATTGAAGTGTACCAAGTTATGAAGGGCCTGGATAGAGCAGATGGGGAGAAACATTTCTCCTTAGCAGAATGGTCAGTAACCAAAGGGCACTGTTTTGGGATAAGGAGTAGAAGATTTAGAGGAGATTTGGAGAAAATTATTTTCATCCAAAGGACAGTGGGTATCTGGAACTCACTGCCTAAAAGGGTGGGAGAGGCAGGAACCATCGAGACATTTAAGGGCATCAAACATATGGGAACACCACCACCTCCAAGTTCCCCTCCAAGTCACTCACCATCCTGACTTGGAAATATAATCGCCATTCCTTTGCTGTCGCTGGGTCGAAATCCTAGAATTCATCCCTAATAGCAGTGTGGGTCAACCCACAGCAGGAGTGCAGCAGTTCAAGAAGGCAGCTCATCACCACCTTCTCAAGGGCAACTAGGGATGGGCAAGAAATGTTGGCCAGCCAGCGACGCCCATATCCCACAAATGAATAGAAAAAAAAATTTAGATGAGCATTTGAAATGCCATAGTGTAATGGCCAAGTGCAGGAAAATGGGATTAGAATAGATGGATGTTTGATGACTGGTACAGACATGATGGGCCAAAGAGCCTTCTTCCATGCTGTAAAAACCTGATGGCTCTCAACCAGGACATAGTGGAAGATGTATGGCCTGTGGTGCCACTTGCTACTGGATTTTTTGTTTGGGTTGATGTATTAAAATGATAGTTTTTTTAAGACATCTGGGCTGAATGGACTCCCTGTAGAGTTGTACAATTCTGCTTGACTATCCCTGCCAAAGACACGAACATGAAGAAGGCATTCAGCCTGTTTCATCGATCAATGGGACCACAGACAAATCTGCCACCTTACTCTATAGTTCAATTGACCCATCGTCTTCAACAGTTTTTGATTTGGTGGGTGGCAGTGGTGGCTTGCACACCTCACCCACTTTAGTGTGAGGAAGTGCTTCCCTAGGTGGTTAATCCCAAATTTTAAGGCTTTGTCTCTTATTCTGGACTCCCTTGCACCAGAGGAAATAGTTTCTACCATCCCGACCAAATCTTTTAATCATCTTAAACAGCTCAATTAGATCATTACTCAAGCTTCTGAATTGGAAGGAATGCAACCTATCGTCTTAATTTAACCCTTTTATCCTTGGTCTCATTCTGGTGAGTCTCTTTAGTTTTAACATCTCCATCCTATGATACAGTGCTTTATATAACCGAAGCTTCATCTCCTCACTGTTATACTTTAGTTCTCCTATTAATTCAGCTCTTTAGTTGTCTTTTGTCCTCTTGTTTTCAATGATTTCTGTACTCGAATCCCTGAATCTCTCCATTCCTCCGCAGTTCCTAGCTGCTGATCATTTGGAAAATACTTTGATGACATCACATTTGGCCACATTGAAGTGTTGAGTGCTGTAGTTTAGATACGATGACAGTCTTAGCTCCCAGAGCAAAGATCAAATTCAGAACACCTTCCCTGTCAGGATGTAGTGATTGTAATGAGGTCAGCCAGGTGGCGGATGTAGTGATTGTAATGAGGTCAGCCAGGTGGACATCATAGAAAGATAGTAGGAACTGCAGATGCTGGAGAATCTGAGATAACAAGGTGTAGAGCTGGATGAACACAGCAGGCCAAGCAGCATCAGAGGAGCAGGAAGCCTTCCTGCTCC